TAATTTTTCAAATGTCAGACACCTGCTGCATGTACGACTGAATATGGACCTAGAGAAAGGTGATTCTGAAAAAAAAAAATATGAACTTTGTGACCCACTTCTTTTGAACAGCCCTTTTAAATGAGTTGCAGTCCAACATGAGTGGAAGAAGTGTTTTATAAAGTTTACCTTGAAACTCTGGTGAGTTGCAGGGGCAGCAGCAGGTTATAATGGGAACAGTTTGAGTCTTGGGTGGAAGAAATTTGAGCTTGCTGGAAAGTGCAAGGTCAAGTGTTGTGGGTTTTTGCTTACTAAAAAATTCTTCAAAGCTGGTGCTATAATGAGAGTACTGATAATAAAAGTAAATAAAATTGTCCTTAGTGCTTACAGTGTGATGAAGATGACATGTGTAAAAGGTTTTATTTATTGGTTTTTAACCTATAGCTACTTTTATTTCAGATTATATGTGACAGCAATAATCTTCTGCTTGCTATATACTATCCCATTTAGTTCCAGCCATTCATTTCATTGCATCCCATAGATGCCGTGCTTCCATTAAGCTTGATTAATACTAATTTCTCTGCAGCCATTGCCTCAGCATGAGTAAGGTGATGACCATATTTCTTCTTTATACAGGTCAGTGTCGAGGCAGGGGATAAGGAGACCACTGGAGTGGCTGAGAAAGAAAGCGAGGTACATATGAGCAGCCTCAAGAGCGTGGCTGTGCTTTAATATCTTCAAGAGAATTGTGACAAAAAATATAATTTACATTTGCATGTCATCAATATACAGGCCGATATGATGCAACTGTGACCTAGCTGCGGTGTTTATTCTTACACTGCACAGATATATCTGTATCTGCAGTATATATTCTAACACCAGAGCACCTCTCATTCAATGCAGGACCTGTCTTAGAAACTGCCTGTTGCAGCAGTATAGAATGATAAATATCTCAGGGCAGCAAACAAAGCAGCTCTATGGTAGGAGGTATAATACTGTTTCTATTGACATTTGGAAATACGTTGCATAAATTCCCAGTAGCCTTTACACTCTCTGTAAATGTGTTTGCCTAGCCTTTCTGCTAATGTCTTTATAAAAGAGAAAAAACTTCAATTAATCACTTATTTTTCCTAGCACAATATGCCCTGAACTAAAACAGATATTTGAAAATAATCATGTTAGGAGTTTGTTTGCTAAAACATAAATCCTGTGTCAGGTGAGATGCAGTTAAAATCACAGAGCAACTGAAGAGCTCAGTGACATACTTTAAGCTGTGCATATGTGGACTCAAATGATTGTATTTTGCTTGTATTTCTTCAGAGGTGATAAAATTACTTACCCTGAATCCTTCTATCCTAAAGTGAAATTGCAATGTGTTCAAATGCAGCACAAAAGGAATGGCTACGTATTAAATGCAGGGGTAGAAGTAGGGACCAAGAAAGAGATTGTAACTCCTAGTTATTAATCACGTAGGATTCGTATCTCAAGGTGCTGACAACCTCCTTTTTGTTGTTATCCATTTTGGTGCCACAATGGTTACAAAAGCATCATGAACTGGTCTCCATGCACTTTGGTTTCAGAATATGGTAAGTCTAGCTGTCCCAGCTTGGAATTTTTACCCTGCTGTAAAACAACATTAGCTGTGCTAGAATCGAGCATCTATCTGTAGCTCCAGGGTATCCCAGTGTCACTGGGAAGTGAGTTTGGGACTTGCTGGTGCTATATTTCTCACCAGCATTGCCACACCTGCATAGGAATCAGTGGAATTACACTAGCAAGAAAGTACAGGACAGGAGCAGTAGACGAAGCCCAGCTTGGTCTTGACACAGTGCAAGAGTGTTGCATCGCTTCTCTAGCATTGGCTTGTCGCTCCCACCAAGTCTGGTCCAAGAAGAAACATGCAAGAAATTCCCCACTATCCTGTGAGCATCAAGACTAAGCTTTGAAATCTTTCCCCTTTTTTCTAATACCACTTGTCCCTGTAAAGTTGAGGTCTCTCATCTGGAGAGTTTGACTCTGTGTCCTGTTTAAAATAACAGTATTACTCTATGCAGAAGAATCACAGAATCACAGAATTGTTGGAATTGAGGTTGGAAAAGACCCTGAAGATCATCCAGTCCAACCATGAACCTCACACTGCCTGTTCCCAACTCCACCAGTTCCCTCAGCGCTGGGTCAACCCAACTCTTCAACCCCTCCAGGGATGGGGACTCCACCACCTCCCTGGGCAGCCTATTCCAATGCCCAACAGCCCCTGCTGGAAAGAAATGCTTCCTAATATCTAGTCTAAACCTTCCCTGGCACAACTTGAGGCCGTTACCTCTTGTTCTAAAGAGCTGCCACAAGAGATCAAGCTACTTGTTAAGCTGATATCTGGCCTCCAGTGGAGGGTGGTCTTTTTGATACTATAACTTGCATAACGAATTCTTCAGTACTACTAAAAAAAGTCTTCCAAGACTTTGCAAGCAATTGATGTATTCCCTAAAGCATGATGATTAGTTCCTCTTGATGTTTTGTTAGCTAGCTTAGCCGCAATTATAACCAACTGTCATAAAAATTACCCAGTCCCTTTCTAAATCCAGCCTTGGGGTGAGACCTTCAGCTCAGGAAAACTGGCATAGCTCTGGGAGCTCCTCTGCCAGACCCCCAGCAGCAGGCTCAGTACCCCTCCTCCTCTCCCTGGGCTTGTTCTTGCTGCTGCCAAATCTGTGGCACTGTGATGAGCTGACAGCGATGTTAATGAGCGGAGAGGGCAACCCTGTGAATCGGCTGCATCCTGGGTGAAGCACCATTCAATTCTGCTGCAGCTAAACCTGTGGAGTGGTTCTTGTATCGCAGCCCTCATTATACTGGATGACCCTTTCTTTGTCCCCTATGCAGTTGGTATAATGGGACAACTGTCCAAATTGCAACAATACTGCTAGAGATGGCTAATTTGGAATATTATTAGACTGCCTAATATTATTGATGACCTGTGAAAAAATGAGATTTGTAGGATTGGTTTTCAATATGAAGTAAGGTAAGACAGGTAACTATATCTACATGTATATGGTTCACCATAGCTGGGTATGAATTCAGTGGGCTGAGTCTCCCACTTCTTATTTTCTTTTCTATACTAATCAAACCTATTTGAGGCTGATAGTGAGGTTCATGCTGTGCGAACTCACATGCATTTTTATAAAAGCTTTTTTTAATCATCTAGCTTGCATTGGTTTTGTACTCTAAGGCACAAGAACAAATGATTATGCAATTGTGAGCTGTGGTATACATTCAGTGACTCATGGCTACAGGCTGTGAGAGCGTCACCCTTTCACTGCGGGGCATTTGAGAGCTGATTCATGTAAATTAGTATTCTCCTCCTTAGTGAAATAAAATGGTCTATACAAATCCAATAAATAGAAAAGAACTGTTGATCCTAATCGCAACAGACAGCAAGATCAATTTCTGCAGCACGCTGTTAGAAGTGCATGGTATAAAATCAATCTGATATGCACTCTGTTCCCCCTCTTTCCTACTAGCTTCTTCCAGGGCTTTTTCACTCATCATTTATTTGAATATCTTCTTGGATCAAGGCGCTAAAATTGGTAATACTGTAAGTGGCAGGCTTGCATGCCTTACAAGTCACAGGAGAAGATGTCAACATCTGCCCATGTCTTTTGATGTTACTTCTTTTTACGATCGGGCATCCTTCGTCAGCAACGTACACAATTTAAACTAAAGCTACTCCCATGATTTCTGCAAAACCCTGTAGTATTTTCTGCCTTCAAGGACTCCAGAAGAATTTATCACATAAATTAATAGCAGCAAATAGGAGTAGTGCTGAATATTAGGTATTGCTAAAAAAACAATGCTTGAAGAGTGCCCATGAGCAATTGCAGGTAGTTCAGTTGAGTTTATGTAGCTGAGTTAGCCTTATCCATGGAGGAAGGATCAAATTTAGGAAACAAAGAGCATCAGGCTGTTAACTGGAGATCAGAGATATTTCTGCTAACTCCATCTTGACACTGGTACCAAGAAAATTTTTCTTTCTAGTTTTTCTTCAGTGTTTTTACTTTATTGTGGTTCTATCTGTCATAAAAAATTCCATGTTGAAGTTAATCGGCCTAACAGAATGAATTTTGTCATTTACCTTCCACCTCCAACCCTTAAGATGAATCCATTATGCTACCGTAAGCGTATACCAGTATGTACCAATCCAAATGTTACGGTGATACATAAATTACAACAGTCTCTGCTGGCTGAAGGATTCAGCATTGATCTATAGGCAGATACTTTTCTGTTCATCTTTCAAGAACTGGAACAAAACATGCATTAACTTTTCAGCATGGTCTGATCACAAATGGTTCAGACATAAGGAGACAGAATGGGCTTTTATGTATGTTTCTTTTTTTCATACTGACCTTGCTAGAGATCTTTATGGTTATATTTTTTAATGGTATCTGATTGAATCTGAAGATTTTTGATCTTTAACCAGCTGTAGAAGATATTTGCTTCTGCTGATACAGCCCAATTTGCAAGTCTGTGTATTAGAAAGGAACATGTAATTAAGGCAGTATTTTTGAAACCAGCCCAGGTCTAGAGGTAGGTGATAGTAGCTGGAGAAGACTTGGAACCTCTTCCCAAGAGCAGACTCCACTTGCAGGGTCCTGTGGACCCCTGGACAGCTTGCAAGCTCCTTTTCCTCAGCAGAAACCTGTGGTGAAGTTCTTCCACAGTACACTGTGAAGGCAAGAGAAGGTAAATATACTAGAGCCTTGGCAAACTGTTACTCCACTAGTAACACCTGAGGACTCTGCTGAGTGGTGCCTAGTGAGGTGCCTCTCCCACCAGTTAATCAGCTTCCCTGCACAAGGTTACCCCCAGCACCACTCTCCCCCACAAATCGGGAAGAACCCCAATGAAACCAAGGCTGTGGGTTGGCATCACCCAGGGAGATCGCAGAGCAGAGGCTGGTCCATAGTCTCTCCAGCAGATATCCAGAACTCAAACCCTGAAAGGTCCCTCCCTCCTGTTGTTTGTAGGTGGTACCTGTCACCGAGGGGGCTGCAGCAGCAGAAGATGGTGTGGCTGTGGCAGCAGGAGCTGGTGATGGTGCTGCCACCACCGAGCAGGAGGGTGTTGCTGAAGGTGACAAACCTCAGGGAGAAGAAAAGGAGGCTGATGTGTCTCAGGTAATTAATGTCAGTGCATGGGAGAGTGTGTTAGGGGAACTGGGACAGATTCAGCAGCCTGAGAGGCACAGCTGCTGCAGCTCTGTGTGCCCAGGTCCACCCAGAAGCAAGGCTGAGGCTCTCCTGGGAGGTTCCCATGCAGGGTGTCCCTTCTGCTGTGTCCTTAACTTGGCCTGTACCTGCCTTTGTGCTCCTGTGCTCCCCTGGGCTTGTGGAAAGGGACTTGGGCTGATGATTCCTGTGATGGGCCTAGGAGCAGCATGGGCAGGGTATTGTTTGAGCTCCCCCTTCTGCTGTTGTCTCTTGGTGCTCCTCTGTGGAGACGAGCTTTGTCATGTAACATAACCAGGCTTTCTGGAGGTATAGGCAGAGAAAATAATGGATTTTTCTTGTCTCCTGGCACCATATCTGTCCTGGTTTCAGCTAGGATAGAGTTAATTTTTCTTCTTAGTAGCTAGAATAGTGTTGTAGTTTGGATTCAGAGTGGGATTTGGTATGAGAATGCTGATAATACACAGATGTTTTCAGCTGTTGCTAAGAGATAAGGTCTCTCCAACTGCCCATGTCCTGCCTGTGCGCAGGTGTACAAGAAGCTGGGAGGGAGCAGAGCCAGAACACTGGACCCAAATTAGCCAGTGGAATATTCCATATCATGTCACGTCATGCTCAGCATGGAAGGAGGGGCAACCGGGAAGGGGAGGGTTCTCTCTCGCATCCAGGACCGTGACTGTGGAATCTTGGTATTTCGGGATCGCTAGCCAGGAACAATCTGGGTATCAGTCAGCAGGTGGTGAGCAGTTGCATTGTGCATTACCCATTTGTATTTTCTGTCATTGTTTTATTTTGTTACAATTATTAGACTGTTTTTATCTCAACCTACAAGTCTCCCTTTAACCCTCCAATTCTTTCCCCCAGGGAGGGGGGAGGGTGAATGAGTGGCCACCGGCCGTGTTCAAACCACGACAATGTCCTATCAATAGCATTACTTTGTTTTATGAAAACCACAGTGGTCAAGTGTGTATCTGCATCTGGCCTGCTGCCTTTTCTTCTGCAACCTCTGAGGAGCTGGGGAACAGCTACTTGAGCAGACCCTGAAGCTGGGCAGACAGTTGCCAACTCCTGCCATCGCACATTGTATTTCTTCTGTGCGCCAGAACAGGGTGATCTGGCAGAGGGTCGGTGAACATGTTCTCTTCAGGTTGGATGCTCCAACAAGTTTCATAAAATGATTTTTGCCATAGGCTTGGTTATTAGTCAGATACTATCTACTTAGCCTTTTTGCTTTCTCTCCCAGTTACATCGCTGTAAGTCAGAAGAAATACTCTCAATCAGTCAAAGAAACAGGTCATGTTTCCTTCTTTCATCACATTTGTATTACTATTATCCTGCTTATTTGAATTCCCAAAGAAATAGAGGATAGTGACTCTTGGAACTTGTGGCTTTACCCAGATTCACACAAAGTTAAGATCAGGATGGAGGGGAAAAGTCTGTTAATTTCCATGCACATTGAAAATGAAAGCCAAATTAAGTGTAGAGCATTTTTATTATTATCATGCAATGATTTGTGATAATATAGAAAGTGGATTTTGGAGGACTAAAGAGACCAGTGAAAACAGGGAAGGGATTACTCCTTTACGTTGTTGCACAAGTACTGTTTTATGTTTGAAATAAAGTACTAAATATTCTTGCGGTGCTTTTGTGATTTTTTTCCCCCCCCCCCCCCAGGAAAAGGTCAGCAGCATCCCTTCAGTAGTAATAGAGCCAGCATCAAACAATGAGGGGGAGGGAGAAGAACACGAAGTCGTCGTGAATGAGTCCAAAGATGGCACAGCGGAGATGGGCACTCAGGGCACTGAAACTTCTCCGAGTGAAACTTCTCAAGTTGGAAATGAGCAGAAACCCACTGAAGAAATCCAGGCTGCACCTTCTCAAGATCAGCCAGTTCTAGCAGGAGACACAGCTTCTGCGATGCCACCTGGCTTTCTCTTTAAGGTCTGCTTCTTCATTCTTCTTTTAGACATCCCTCCAGATCTAGCTTCTATGGATGTGTCTGTCTGCACAGGTAGTGTGGTAATTTTTTGAGGCCATAGGATAACTTAGTTTAACAGCCAAACAAAGGCACACACAAATACACACAAGCACAACTTTAACATTGGGTTGTTGCTTCACACATGAAGTCTGAGAAGGTGGATTTTATGCACACCATTGTCACTGTGCATATCCTTACGTGGCTGTAAGATTTACTGACATACAAGAACCCTTTCATCTCACCAGATTACTACTGAAAATTAATATATTGAGTAAAACTGCACTGCCAGAGTTATTCAGCAATATTGTGTGGTATATGCTAGCAATATATCAGATACACCAACAATATATTTGGTCTTTAAGGTCCCTTCCAACCCAAACCATTTTGTGATTCTATGAATATTTAAAAATAGCATTTTTCTGGCCTGAATTATCTATAGTGGAAGTTCTGGTTCTATTGAAGCCCATGGGACTTCTACAATTCATGGTAATGAAGCCAAAATGTCATTCTGTGACTTTAGTAATACTATAGTTATAAACTGTTAGGGTTATCAAACAGAAAAGCTTAATGAAGCGTAAGAGAAATTCTTTCCTTGGCTGGCAACACCCCTAGGGCTTCCTGGTTCACAAGGTACTTTGATAATGCTTCTCACTTCAGAATCACTGAGCAGCAGAAAAGCTCCTTGAGGGTTGATGAACTTTACATGCTTCCTATTATAATTTGCATAGTTCAGACTAATTAGTCCCATAGCATTCCATAAGTATGCCATTCTTCTTGGTCTATTTTCATTGCTCAATATTTTCAGCAAACTTTGAGAATAACATCTAGGTGAGGATGAACAGTATCATGCAACTCTGACTCAGACATGCTGATACAGTTAATCTTTTGTTTTTCTTCACACTCTCTTGGGTCACACATAAATAAGGAGAAGCAGAATATATGCCCCCCATCTGGTTCGTGATGCCATTTTCTTTCATTATTGCAGAGTTACCATGGAACTGGCTGTGCTCTGAGAAATTAGAATAGCATATCTCTTAAGGAGGTAGAACCATTTAGTTAGAATGGTCAGTTCTCAGTCTGATCCTGCCAATGTTTTAATAATCTACCCTTTGAAAGACAGATATTTTTGGCATATCCATCTGCCAGTAAATGGGAGCTCTTTCCAGGGCAGGCACTAAGTAGGGTTCCCATTGTTCATCTCTTTGATCACCTGTTGAGATGGGTCCTGTATGTCCCACTTAGATTTCTCTGGATGTTACAGCAAGAATAATATCCAGTGGCCACAACAAGAGAGTGGGAAAGAGTCTGAAATATCACTTCCTGGGAGTCGTTCCCAATTTTATTTGCAAAATCTTGCCACCCTTCTCTCAGATCTAGTTATGGTAGTCAGGAATGAAACCAAGTTCCTAACACAGAAGGAATAAGGGTGGCAGGACTTGTCCAAGAAGCACTTACGAGGTGTTGCAGTATCATCTGTCCTTGAGATGCAGTAACCTTGGGAAAGGATCTTAGGCTTCCTTCAGTAGTCTGAGGAAGACTTAAGCTGTCCCTGCTTCCAAGGATATGAACAGAAAAATTTGACATGAATCAATGTCAAAATTAACAATTTGAATGTACCTGTCTATAGCCATATGTTTGCATAAAGAAGGCACATCATTCTCCTTTTTTGCAATAAAGATTTAACAGATAATTTTGTGGAGAAAATGTCTCCATTTAGATCATGTCTGTATGTTTGGTGTTATTTTCTTCAGGTTGAAGTTCTACACGATTTCGAGGCAGCTAACAGTGATGAGCTTAATTTAAAACGAGGAGATATTGTACTAGTAATTCCTTCTGAGACCACAGCTGATCAGGTAAAAACATGTCGTTCTTTCTTTAGTTGACATTTTTCTTTGTCTCAACTTTTTTCTCACAGATTATAGTTAATGGGAATGTGGATTCAAAATGACATTACTGTTAGAAAACACAAAGACTTTAATTTTGTCTTTGAACTTGTTTTCATTTGTTACTAAATGGCACAGTTGGCTACAGCTAAAGTCCCAGATATATGCTACTAGCAGGATCTGACGTCAACATATTTTCTAGGACTTTTGTGTTATGCTACTCTGTAGTGGATTTTATACAGGCACACAGGCACACAAGGACTTGATACAGAAGATGACTTGCAAATTGTGCATTATGCTGTTATCTATCATCTTGTCTTAACATTGCAGTAGAATTAATTACATGGTCCCTACATGTTCAGAGTTTTTATGTGTGGATTTGGAGAAATAATACAAATTCACCCACAGAGAGCACTGAGACTGCACACCAATTGTGCTGTCCTACACACAATGGATGGAGGCGCTGCCATGTGTGCCGCACACCTCTAAAGCTAACTCTGCTCTCTGGAAGCTGAACCTGAGTTAAACAGAAGTTTAATTTTATTTAAGACATTTAATTTTGTTTCAACAGTGCATTTCAAGTGAATTTTTAAACAGTTTTATCCCATGTGTTAAACTGAAGTGCGCTGAAGTGAATTGATTTTTGGCCACTGCTTTAAAAGAGAAGACTGCACTGCACACTGTTAGCACCAACACTGCTGTTAGTGCCAGTAGTGTTGGTGAAAAGCCTCCCATTGATCTGGGGCTTGAGACGTGGGGGACTGCATCCTGCCTGGGCAGGTAGCTAAGAGCACTGCTCCGAATGAAGGATATTTCTTAAAATAGATCTAAATACAGCCTAAGCACATATGAGTGCTGGGCACTGTGTATGAAATTGTTTCAGTGGCTGATGCTGTCCAAAGGTAGGTGTTCACCAGTGTTCATCGTTTTAGCTGAACTTTCATTTAATACAAGAAATTGGGGGGTTGTGTTTGGGTTGGTTTTTTTTTTTTTAATTTCAGAGTAAAACATTTTTCTTTCAGCAGGGCACTTTGCTCTTTTTATAGGGATAGATTCTGTTTTCGTTACTCAAATTATGCTACCTCTTACCTCATGGGCAGTTCAGCTGCTTTCATTATCAGCATTTGAGAATAGGACACTGCTGTAAGGACAGCAAAATCCGCTCTGTCTTCAGTCTGTTTTTCTTAGGAATGTGTTAAATGTGCTTAATCTTTACTTGGCAAACCCATGAAGTATACTCTTCTGGTGTGCATCGAAATTCCATTAGCATTAATTGCAGTAAATTGTGTGCAATGATGGAGAAAATAAACCTTTATGTATTCATGTTTCTGAAACTATTCTGGTCATATCTTTATCACTTGGTACATATTTGCCCTTCATGTTTAACATCACGATAAAGATTAATCTTTTTGTCTTTTCCCTTTGTTGATTTATATAGAGTCTTTTTATCTTTGTTATTCTTTATTCTCCTTCAAAATTGACCTGTCTAAAACCATAATTCTAATATTGCTGGTAACATCAGCCTGTGTTCCCCATTCAAAGCAAACCAGTCCCACACAGTGGCTTCAATTTTTCCATTAGTCTTTAGATGAAGTTGTTATCAAGTAAAACTGTTCATTTCTTCGTACAATCTATACTGCCAGGTGCTAGAAAGCCGCAGTTCCTCTCCCCTGTATCCCAGATATTCCAAATACTTCAAAAACATGTCCCCAGTTACATGTACCTAGGCAATGCTATACATAATCTGTGTCTGCTTTAACGATGCTTATTTTGGGGGGAGAGAGCCAGTACATCCCCGCATGCAGCCACTGAGCAATCATTACGTGGTGGTGTCTGTGAAGATCTGTTTGAGCTGCTCTATCTCCTTGTGGACTCTTTGTGCAATACTAATAAGGCAGCATTAGAAATTCCGTTTGTCATGGCTTTGCTCTGGCTCCTGCTCTTAAAAGGAACGAAGCACAGAGTTACTGAGTTAGTGAGATGAGAAAAGGTTGATCATTTTCAAAAATACTCAATTGAATTTATTCCAGGTAGAATTGATCACACTTAAGAAAATCCAGCACTTTCCAATAAGAAATCTCTCTTTTGATTGCTTGAACTGCTGGTGATTTGTTTGAAGGTTTGCATGTCAAGTTCTGTTTTAGGTTTCTAGTAGCTTTTTGAAAAATAATTGCATATTAACTAAGTTGGAGTTTCCAGAGATAGTAACTCCATAGATTGCAAGAACTGTTATTCCTTCTGACTGCCAATACATGAACAAGAGACAAACAACTCTCAGGGAAAAAAAAAAAAAAAAACAGATTGAAAACTACTTTTTTCCCCAACTACAATATCATGTAATGTTTCTGATCCACTGCTGTGCTCTTACTGCACAAGTGTGCCAGTATTATTGTGGCAACTTTGCAAAAAGTCTCAATGGAGATTTGCACAAATGTAGATCTGGTGTAATACTGGATGACCTGGAAGACTGATTATCCAGTTTTGAGTTCAGCCAGGGGTTAGATGGGCTAAAGCCTCCACAATATGCTCACAGTCACTCGGTCTCACACAACTGTGGTCCGGCAGAACAGAGAAAATGGTCTCTGCAAAATCAGAGGCTGCTTTTTAACCAAAGCACCAAATCTTTTAGCCGTGTGACTCTGAAATATCTTCAGGTCTGAAGCTTACAGGAAGGAAGTGAGGAGAGCTGAAGTTTAAGAGACTCTGTCTTTTTCCTTGCAGGAGGCTGGCTGGTTGACAGGCATTAAAGAATCCGAGTGGCTTCAGTACAGAGATGCAAACAGTTATAAAGGACTTTTCCCAGAGAACTTCACACGCCATCTGGAGTAGTTCTCCGCTCAGGCAGACGAACGTGATACAAAGATCAGTCAGTAGGTTTTTAACCTCTTTGAAACACAGGAGCCCACCTTTTTGTAGTTTAAACTGTTAATGGTTTACAGACTGATGCCAGACAAAGCTTGTTGAAACATATCAAAATGAGCATGAATGCAAACAGTTAAGCTAGCAATCTCTGAAGCAGTACATGAAAAAAAAAAAAATCAAATAAAAAAGAAATGTCCTTATTTGTTCACACGTATGTGGCAACGGGTTTGTTTGTGCTTTGTCAGAGCTATGGTGATCCTGTATTGGTCCTTTCCCATGAAATCTGAAATTAGCCTCCTCAATACCAAAACCTTAACTTCTCTGCACTAAGTGTATTGTATTGAGTTGCACTGCAGAAGATTTAGTTATCCTGTAGTAATGAGGTCAAACTATTATGAGTTTCATGTGTTTAAAAAAGATAATTAACTGCTGCAACGTTTTTCAATGTTATTTTTGGACATGCGTAATATATATACACAGAAGAACTTAAATGTGTATATATAAGTGCATATGGATATATATGCATTTTCATGACTTCATCGTAGCTCTTTGACTGTGTAGTATCATCAGTACATGCATTGCTCTTTCACTGTCTGGCATTACAGGAAACAGTTTTGCTCCAAAGCAAAACTAGCTGCTCCATTGCCAAAACATGATACAGTATCTGTGTTTGTAATGTGAAATTTTCATTCTGAGATGATGAAAAACATCATGTTCAAAGCTGCTAAACCTTTGAGAAGGCATGGCTCAGTCTCCTCCTTCAGCTGCAGTAGTTACAATGAGATAACCTGGAGGGGGAGCTGTTATGATGCTAATCTATACTTTTTTATTTAATTGGCTGAATAAATTTAAAAAAAGAAACAGAACTAATCTCTGAGAAAAAATAAAAACAATATATTTTCACTATATGTATTTATGCAGCATATCTTCACAGATCCTTTTAAAATAAGATATATAATGTATCCTGTATCAAAAAGTCATCTGTAACTTATGTTTTCCAGTGCTGTGTCATTAAAAATAAACCTTTGATCCAAAGAAGCTGTTTCATCTGTGGTGCTTTTGAAGTTTTCCAACACCGAAGTTCATATATTTTATATGTTGTATTAGAGAATCCAAGCTTAATTTAATACCTTTTTTTCCTCCAAAGAAACACAGCATAACAGGTGCACCATCTAAATTCTTGCTCTCATCCCTAGTCATGACCAGAACTCCAGAAGGTCTGAACCCCAGCTCAGCAATCTCCTAGATGCTCCTCCTATTCCAGACTCTGACCGCCAACTAATATCTGTCCACAAGCACCAAGGGAACTTGTCTGTGCTTGACCATCACAGCTGAAGATTGCTAATTCTTAGTAATTTTTCACTTGTCCATTTATTTGTGTGGAAAGAAAGTTCTTCATGAATCTGCTCTATTGTGTTTCTGATGCATGGAAGAGGCAAATATTTAGGAGCATCTGTAATTTCCTAGCAGTTCAGTTATTTTTCATGATATTTTGGTTGGGGGCTTGTTTTGTGTACAAACAGCATCTCTTTCCACTCTATTTCTAATTTGTCGGATTTCAGTTGAAGAAACAGATTTTTTTGTTGCTCTGGAAGAGAAGGAAAGTTGGCTTCTCTCTTTTTCAGGAGCAAGTCTAATGATAGCTGTGTTTTGTCAAGAAGCTGAATGGCTCAACTGCAATAGCTGTGGTTTTGACTTTGAAATGTCATAATGAACAATTGGAGTCTAAGGAGGTTGCAGGAAAGCTCTTTAGTTTTCTTGTTCATTCCTTTAACAGGCTTGGTGGTCAGCAGTGATCCAGAGCCAAGAATCTCACCAGAGAAACAACTTTCTTTTTGTTTTGATGTGTTACAATAAATTCCAGACTCCAGTGCGCTGCTTTGAGGTGGTCACAATAACCTATTACACCTCATTTATGGTGAGACTCTGATGACCTTCAGGCCAGTTCCCTGCTTCACTACATCTGAACGCTCGCATTTCAGCAACAGCTGCTCTACAGATCACTGCAAGAGAGCAGCACTGGATGATGGAGCCTCAGTGTGGATGCCATGTTGCCAGTTCTTTGTCTGGGGCCTGCAGTCAAGCGAGACCGTCGTGCATGACAGCTCTAACCCTAAGGAAGCAGGGGACACTGTGATCAGCCCAAAGCATTTCTTTACCCAGTGCTGATTGTGTGCAGTTGCCATTATGCCCTCTTGATGCTAGAAGTACCCGAGTCAAAGGCAACACCCTTGACCTTGACTCTTCTAATGCCCTTGGTACAGATCGATGTGCCAAATCCATTGGTAAGGGGTTTGCATCATACCTGAGGTTGTATATAGATAGAAAGGTCTCTCGTCTACAGCAAAGAGCTGTCATTGTTTCTTCTGACATGCTCTTCAGAAATACTTCTTGATTCTTCATTTCTTAATTCCACCTCAGTATAAAGAAAAATATAATTTCAAAACCCATCAAATGTTCCCATCTCACTACAAGGACTGTTATTATTTGCTGGCAACAAGAAGATGTACTGATAATGTCCCAAAAGCCATGCTATTGAACATGGTGCATGTGTCATTTAAGTGCTGCAGGTTACTGTGGATATGACATACCATTCTGACATTAAATACATCTGCCTATCTCACACATGTACCACAGAGCCGCAAAGCAAAGATGTCTTACAGGAAGGATGAGAAGAATTATTAATGTTATATCTTTAAAATTCCTTGCAAAATTCCATATACCAAGGTGATAGATGTTAAAAGAAGGGCATTGATAAGATAGCCAGAATGATAATTTTCTTAATTTTTCCCTTCTAACAGAAGGAGTTCATGAATAGAAATGTATTTATAATTTTGGGTTAATACCTGTTTCTCGTATTGGATTTCTTAGTTTCATTAGACAATGAGACTTACCTCTCAGACACTTTTATGTCTGCAGCTCCTGAGATGAATAGTGAAATTAAATTTATTTATCTGTGATCTGTAGAAACTTATTCTAGGGCAAGCAAGAGAAATTCTTTCCAGTATATACTGCTGTTTGGTACCCCTGATAACCTCCCCCCTGGAGTTATATTAGCCCAGAATTACTTATTTCTTTTCTTGGATTTTTCTGATTAACACACCACATTGGACTTGGCGAATTACCAAATTTCATGCTTTCAGAGTGACTGTAAAACAATAACCCATTGTATCTTGGTTTCTCTAAAGACTTATTTTTGCCTAAGACAGCACACATTACTAACCTTGTACAGCAGCTATAATTTCTAATTCTACATAAGATAAACCCTTCAAAAGATTTAGGGACTCAATCTCCTGATCTCGCAGGCTGATTATGCATGGTGTGGCCTTGGAAGTAAGACAAAATAACTGAAGATGGAGAAACATCTTGTGGGGGTGAATGAATAAATTGTGTATTTGCAGCTCATCTCTCTGGTTTACTACCTTCCATGAATAATGAAAAATGAATAAGCTGAATGACGCTTCTGTCCCTTTTCTCCTCCTCCTCCTCTCCCCACCTCTTCTAGACCTCACATCTGGGTGCATCTGTCCCTGCCTTATGAAGATGGAGGGGAGGCTGGGGGGTTTGGTCCTACTCAGATTGTGTGGCATTTGATTCCGGGATGCTCTGGTTACTGATGCCTTAATGCCAGAAGGATGTGAAGTAAATCATAGTCTCATCAAAGTGCACGCTTAATGAAAATTTCTTAGTGTCTTGCAGACATGGGGGAAAAAGGGCATTGAAAGAAAGTCACCGTGATGGGGAGGTTAAAGGGATAGAGTTGGGAAAGAGCAGCCACTGGTTGTAGGAACAGTTTACAAGGCTGTCCCGTCCTCTGCACCCATGTGTAGGCAGAGCAGCTGCAGTAGCCAGAAGTACAACAGTAGCCTCCAAAACACCACAGTTTGCTGCTAAGGACAAAATCAAGATTTTACTGTTAGTTTTTAAAATAGATTTTAAAGATTTGTCTTTTTGTATTTAAAACACTACTGTGGCAGTTGATGAAACACACTCCCTGCTAAGCCAGTCCCCAGGTACAGAAAGCAGTTAGTTCAATGAATTAAGCAGGGTCATCATTTCTGAAAGCAGCGCAGAAGAGCACAGAAGTGGGTTTGGTTTTTTTTTTTTCCAGCTGGCTGTGATCAGCAGTGTCACTGCTAGCTCTGATGTGCTCTCTGGTGGCGAGGCGTTCACTGCAGATGAGGGGACTGCAATGGACTTGGTGCAAGCAAGCCAGTGACGAGACAGCCACCTTGCTTCTGTATTAAACCCCAATTCTTTCTGGAGTAAAAAAAATCCGTTTAATTAGGAAGAGAAATTTTAGGAGATGGCATGTCCAGGTTCAGAATTAGAGAATATGAAGTGGGCTATGGTTTTGGACTCGGATCTCACTAAATGTGTGGTGAGACGGTTACTTCTCAAAGATTTCCTCTCTTAGGTCTCCATCCACGTGATTTCAGCTCCGATGCTATCTCTGTGTGCACTGTGTCCCTGGCAGCATTTCAAGTCCATCTGTATTTCTCTTGCACGGATGTCTTCACTCTGACCTGTTTAATCAGCACAGAAGCATCGTAAGGGGGAAGACTGCGGCGCTTCCCAAATGACAACTCCTATAACCAACAGAAAGACCTCTTAATTAACATTAATTTGGCAAAGCTGAAATCATCTCGAAGGAATTTTGCTGTGTATTTAGATAGCAGCTAAGGGAAACTTCAGTGAAAGAAATTACCCAGGCAGTAGTAAAAGTACCACCCTGTGTGTAGGCAGGATTTCTGTCCAGCCGCAGGTGCTAGATGCAATGCAGAGAACAACAAAAGAGCATGTAGCCACCAGAAATAGTCTTCAGGAGTCAGTGAGACCCATGTCTGCTGAAGAGGGTCAACAAATGCAAAAGTCCTGTTAGTCCTCAACCTGGTTTCAGAGGAGAAAACAGGCTGGAGTCTATTTTGGTGCTATCTGAGCACAGGCTTTGGTGCAAGCCACGCCAACATCAGGTCACTAAGAGTGCCTTTATATTTGCCTAGACAGACTGCTTGTAGCACAAGGTATAACGACCAAAACACTGGAAAGGTAAGTAGTGATATACCTAAATTATTATATTTCCAAGGTACATGCTACAAAGGAGAAGGTGAACGTATCCAGGCTTCCTAGACTTCATTTATTTCAGGTAATTATTCATAAGAAGGCCAAATTCTCTATATGAGTTTTTTAAATTTAAACACATTGCGCTGCAATGGAAGGAATAATCTGTCTGTGTGTCAGTGATTGAAAAAAAAAAACAACCATCATGTAATCTTGTGGAATAAGCTGTGTGGGTTAAGACGAGATCACCAAATGAGAAGGTCATACAAAATTCTCTCTCTCAGTGGCTAAAATCTGAAAGATCCCATATCTGGCATGGTGCTGTGACTCCCAAGGTTTTGTAGATATACAAATGAAAGTGGGAATTGTCCATAGTGACTGACAGGGATTCAGAACACTGTATTTTAAACCTGTAAGATGTTTTACAGGAGAGGTTGTATAAATGCTGAGGATCTTTGGGTATCTCCTGGCCCAAGAAAGAACATCACACTCCTGTCCACTTTAAAAGTACTCATGAATATAAAAATGACCGATGCACACCTGTTTTGCTTAAAAAATTCCGAGTATTGTAAGAATTCTCAGCATCCATCCATGCCTGTGGATGCTATATAGCATCTGCACAGCTGCTCAAAAAGGGCTTCTGAGGGTTTTACTCCTTCATACCCAGCAGAGGGTGATAGATACTAGAATTTGAAGTCAGCTGTTGCTTGGATCAGTCTTCAGCTGCGAGTTTCATTAATACCTCTCATTATCTGAAGTTGGCTCATACTTGCAGACACACAGGGCAAATTCCATGCAATAATGGCAGCAAAACCAGTTTTATGTATGCAGTAACTGGCTACTTCACCCTGCAGGAAAAGACAGAAAAATATATTACCGAGCTGCACTGTAAATCATTGCGACAACATATCCTTGCATCTCATACATGCTAAAACTCATGCTGTGTTACAAACATGGTAAATCAGCACCAAGTA